ATATAATATTAATATTATATAATATATATTAATATATATAATATATAAAAATATATATAGTATATTGATATTATTTAATATATATAATATTAAATAATATTTTGTTAGAATAAAGTAGAGTATTTCACTATGTTGCATAGCGATAGCATGTTTCAGCTAGTTTCGTCATCATGAAAAAAAGTTAATGATACCTTGTGAAACATTTAGGCAACCCCAAGCATTCATCGTTAAAGAATCTTCGTTCTTGTATAGACAAATATTTGCGGAACATTATGATATAATATATCACAATGTGTATCCTTGCACGCGATAATCCCTATTGCTTTGTGCGACCGTGACGAAGTTCCGGACGAAGTGCCAGTTATCGTCAGTTAGAGTTCGTTGTCATTTATGGCAGGAAAACATGTTAATCGCGGAAGGAAACGGATGTTGTATCAGAATATCTTATGAAAAAGAAGAACTATTTTATTTTAGTCATGGCGACGCATTTAAATATCACGGGGCTCATGCGGGTCCGGAAGTTTCTGCCAGTTCGGCTCGACGCCCCAAATCTCGCGGGCGTACTCCGCAATTGTACGATCCGACGAGAATTTCCCAGACGATGCAATGTTATAGATAGTCATCTCCACCCATTTGCTTTCGTCCTGGAACGATCAATAAGCGATTTCGCGATAAATAAGTGAGAAGATAACGATTTCTCGCATTTTTTTTGGTAAACAAAAACTCACGCAAAACAAGAAGTTTATTTTTTTAAATTGATCAAGTACCTGATAGACTTTGCTGACGTGATCTTGCATTTGTATATAGCTCTCGTAATCGGCTAAAGATAAGAACCTGTCCCATTTGAGTAACACATCAGCAATATCTCGATATTCATCGGGATTATTCGGACTGAAGAATCCTCCTTGGATTTGATCGATACACTGCTTCGCTTCGGGCAGCTTGTTATAATAATCGTAAGCATTGTAGCCTTTACGTTTTAAAGCTTCCACTTCGTCTACCGTCATACCGAAAATAAAGATATTTTCCGAGCCCATTTCCTCTGCCATTTCTACGTTTGCCCCGTCCAAGGTGCCGATGGTCAACGCACCGTTCAACTATAAATATAATGTATGATTCTGTTATTTAAACAATCTAAATTTTGTAATAAGAATAATTACGCGATTGCGATTAAATATTAAGTGTGTGTGTATTAAATAAAATAATAGAAAATAATTAAAATATTGCTCGCACAATTTTACATTCGCCGAATGAATTCGACGATCAAGCTTAGCTCTCATAAGAAATGGTAGATGTTATAATTTATAAACGAACGCGCGCACACTGCAAGCTTATTGTTAGCCTCATTTTACTGCCAAAAGCTACTGACCATAAACTTCATGTTCCCAGTGCCAGACGCTTCGGTGCCAGCGGTCGAAATCTGTTCGCTCAAATCTGCGGCTGGTATGATTTTTTCGGCCAAGGTTACGCGGTAATTCTCAAGAAAGATCAATTTAAGCTTGTCCCCGACGATTGGATCGTTATTGACAACATTGCCGACGCTACAGATAAGCTGAATGATCTTCTTTGCCAAATGATAACCTGGCGCAGCTTTGCCTCCTATCATTACGGTTCTTGGGACAAAAGGCGCGGATGGATTCCTTTTTATTCGATTGTACAAAGTGATGACGTGCAAACAATTCAACAGTTGTCGCTTATACTCATGTATGCGTTTTACCTGTCAAATGAAATATCATTCAACTCAATCCTGTGTCATTTTAAAATTGTTTGAATTTATGTATGTGTGCATATCATTTAGCATATTTTATGCATTATATCCATGAAGGAAAAGTAAGAAGAGTTATCTACCTAGATTAGAAATGGTCACGAAAAATGTTCCGTACGTGGTCAGGTTTGCCAAATGGAATAACTTGGACCATTTCGTCGCCATCTTGAATATTCGTACATATATAGTGTTATGTTTAGTTGTGTTAGTGATTAGTAAGTGTGTTGAGTGACACACAACTTACTAATTATTACCACAACTAAACGTAACACTATATATATACGAATATTCAAGATGGCGACGAAATGGTCCAAGTTCTTCCATTTGGCAAACCTGGCCACATAGGGAACATTTTTCGTGACCAACTTTTTTCCTCTCTGCACTATCGAGATAACTCTCCTTACTCTTCTTTCATGATTCTAGCATAATATCGATGGTGTATTATAAGCCATCTCAAAACCGTCCTTTTAATCACGGCTTCTTTGATCGATGCAGAAATTATATTTTTCTAACAAAAATGTAAAGGTTGTTATCTTTTTTATCACGTCTTTTATAGTTGCATCACATAAAAAATTAATATAAAGTTTCAAACCTTATTTAAATTTTATTAAAACTCAATTAAAATTAATTGAAGAATGTGACAGTTTGTCATTTATTTCCTTGTCTAATATTCTATTTGTCAAAAATCTCCAATTTTCAATTTTTAATTATTCGTAAAAATAGATAAATGCCTTGACATCTTTATTTAAAAATCAATAACAAATTAACCAAAGATCTATAATGAAAAGGACATTTGATATTACAGATGACTTGTATGATTGCTGCTCGTATTCTGACCTGGATATCAAAGATAGATGCTGGATTAACCCGAACGCCATAATCTTTCTCTAATATCTGGGCTAATCGTAGTTTGTTCTCCTGCTTGACTTTAACGATGTTACGTTGAAATACTGGATCTTTCGCCCATTTCTTCAATTGCGTCAACTGTTCTAAATGAACTGTCCACTCGCTACCAATTTTCTAGAAATTATTAAATACATCGCATAAAGTCACACATATACAGGGTGTCTGATAAAGATTGTGCAAACGCTCGTGAGCAGGTAGAGCACAGTAAACTGAACAGAAAACGCTTATTAAAGGAGTTATTATGGAGTAAAGTCTGGCCAACCAGCGCCGACTTTTAGCCGGACGCACATCGGTGAGCCGCCCGCCTGGTAGTGTGCGCCGCCGTAGCGATGGAGCGCTCACGCACGCTGCCAGGCGCGCAGCTAAAGGTCGGCGCTGATTGGCCAGACTTTACTTGATAATAACTCCTTTATTAAGCGTTATAGAAAAAAATGTTACGCGACTTTTCTGTTCAGTTTACTGTGCTCTACCCGCTCACGAGCGTTGGCACAATCTTTACCGGACACCCTGTATAAGAGATATATATGTAGAAGTTATTAAAAAGATACACTATGTAATTAAGTACTCACTTCTTCAATGATATCAGATAGATTTGGATTGCAAAGTAATAACCATCTCCTCGGTGTAATGCCGTTTGTCTTGTTTTGAAACTTCTCCGGTGAGAATTCGTAAAAACCTCGGAAGCTAATAAAGCGAGAAAAACAGATTAGACATGCTATGAATTTTCTGAGACTTTGATAAAGTCTTATAAATACAATTCAATGCGAAACATACACACTATCTTTGAGAATTTCTGAATGAATACGGGCAACTCCATTTATAGCGTGACTACCGACGATTGACAGATGAGCCATATTGACTCTTTTCTCGCCGTCCTCTTCTATTAAAGACATCTGACGAATGCGATCCATGTTGCCGGGCCACTTAACCGCGACGTTTTGAAGATGCAAGTGATTTATCTGATAAATGATTTGCAAGTGTCTTGGGAGTATACTTTCCAACAAGCTAGTGGGCCATCGCTCCAATGCTTCGGGAAGGACCGTATGATTTGTGTAAGCGCATGTACGTGTTGTAATGTCCCAAGCCTGAAAGATATTCCAAGAGATGTTCGTTTCGAAGGTTTTATGTGTATGACAAAAGACAAAACCGTACACTCTATTACTGTCAGATTTACTGATAGATGTGCCTGTCAAGAGCGT